GGCGGGCGCCACGTCGAAATGGCCGCTTTGAAATTGCTCGGGCCTGTGCGAAACCCGCCACCTCAAAAACCTGCAGTGTCTTGTGTCTGGACCTCTGGGCCATGTCTGGTGGGGTGAAAGGACACTTAAAAATCACCCCGTTATTTTTCGAGGAGCGGCTAGGACCGTTTTTTTAGAGGATTTTTCGCGCCAGCGCCTCCGGTTAGCGCTTGAGAAACCCCCGCGCCATTTTCACGCCGCGTCGCCCTGCCCCCGGCGGAGTGACGCAATTTTGGATTTTCGAAATTCGCCCCAATCGCGCTTCCCGCGTGATGTCCCCGTTGCTCACCATTGCGGGGGAAGAGAGCTCTGAAGGACTCGACTCACGCACCTGCCATCGCACGGCGACACGTCACCAAAGTCCCCTCCTAGGAGGGGACACGGAGGGTGTTGGACAGGTTCCGAGCAGAGCATCAGAATGGAGGAAAATTTTTGAGACAGAAGAACAGAAGAAAAGGAGAGAGAAAAAGAAAAAGAGAGAGGGAAAGGAAAAAGCAGCCGAAAAAGAGCGAAAAGGAGAGAGAGGAAGGGAAGGAGCGGAAGGGAGAGAGAGTGGGAGAAAGTGAGAGAGGGTAGAAGAGAGAGAGAGAGACAGAGAGAGGGAGGGAGAGAGGGAGAGAGGGAGAAAGGGAGAAGGAAGACTTTCGACACAGATTGAAAGGGACGCTTGGCTTCCGACATCCCACCAAAAGTACACGTCCACAGGCGAGGTAGATGCAGGCATTCCAAGAAGAAGAGTAAACAACCAGTGACCGCCTGAAGGACCAACGAGACCCCTCGCACAAAACCTCCGGCTTTAAGACCAGCGCACGCCTCACCAACTTCCAAGAGAGCTCAGGGCACGAACATGCACGAGTCAATTGCCTGACCAACAACCTACATCCCCATAGATCAAGGTGGAGAAGTGTCATACACATTTGGAAAGACATCTACATCCAGAGTGAAGATTGAAGCGTGGCGAGATCAACTCCGAAGACACCAACTACAGCATCAAGAAGAATCCTCCAATCATCCTGGATCCGAAGACCCATACGAAGATGAACTACAGATCCTCCGCGTGAGATATATCACCACTAACCCTCRTAACCCACCTCCCCTTTACTTTCCACCTTGATCCACTCCCTTCTTAGTTCCGGACGGACCTTCTTCCAATCCGACTCCACAACTAACCCCCCCCCTCTCTTTTGGAGAACGACACCATCCCTACCCCTACCGATCTACATTCAACCAAGGACTATCCATGACCCCCCTCTCCTCCGACCAACATCCCGGATCACTCGAACCCCCCGCCCCTTGGTCCAGACCCATCCCATAGCCCCTCCCAAATCCTCCCCCAACGTATTCGGGACCCCAAGCACACCTCGCTAAGACACACAGCCGTCCCTACCACAATCCAGAAGATACCCCCCCCCCCCCCCCCCCCCCCCCCCCCATCAGATACGAGCGTACCCCACCCCAACCCGTCACTGGACTACTTCGCATCCA